GTAGTTCAGTGAGAAAGTCCAATGAGGAAGGGAGACATGCTGTGAAGAAGCACCATGAGCCAGGAAAGACAAAGAAAGCCCATGGTTCCTCAAGGGCGTTCCTCCATTAATAGCTCCTCATCTCTCAGGCTTTCCCTTTGCACCCCGCACCCAACAATAGAGTTTAACTTCAGCCCTCCAGTCCCACTCAGTGGCTGATGGGGCATCTTCTGTGACTTGTCTTGACAATCTCCATTCAGCTTACTTGAGAAAGCAGGAGATGTTCTGGATGCTGTCTATTTATTAATAAAATTATACCACAAAATTCTTGCTGTAGCTCGTGTATTTAAGGTGATGAGGTCTCCACCAAAATGTTCGGCACAGCAGGTTTGGTAGAGCTGGGAACAGTGATTAAAGGTGAAGGGATTCTTTCTAGGGTGTGATGAACCCACAAAATTCTCCAAGAATAAATCCCAAAGCAATGGTCTCTGAACAGGATGAGCAACCAAAGGGCCCTGAGGTCTGGGCCGAGCTCTAGCCAAGCTCCCTGGCGACTGTCCTGTGTACCTTCCTTCTTAAAGCTGTCGCTTTTACACTACTTCCTTCAGAAGAGCTAAATGATGCCTTAAAATTAGATAATAGTAACTCATCTGTGAACTACAATTACAGAGATTGTGTCTCCTGACACGTCTGCATAATGTAGAATCAGTTTTTCATGATGGCTGCCTCGTTAAGTTAGATTGAGTATTCAGTATATTCAAGAGAACGTCACGCTCTCAGATTTTATGATAAGTATTCTATCCCCACCAACTTCTGCAGCACAATGAGGCAATAATTTGTGAGTCAGTTCAAATAGTTTTACAGCAAGAAATACTTGGGTCATTAGCTTCCGGGTCACTTAACTGCCAGTCAATCGTATGTCAATCTGCAGAACTATTTCTCCTTAAGATGTATTTATTTTTATGAGTGTTCTGCCTGCATGTATGTAAGTTCACTGCATGTGTGCTCGGTGCTCACGGAGGTCAGGAGGGGCTACTCGATCCCCTGGAAGTGGAGCTATGGATGGTTGTAAGCCTTTGTGTTCCCACTTGGAACGGAACCCACGTTCTTCGCAAGAGCAGCCAGTGCTCTTAGTCATTGAGCCATCTCTCCAGGCCCTCCTGACTATTTATTTGTATGTTCAAGATCCCTGTGCTTATCTCCCGGAATCAAAATCCTGCATCTGTTCATTGTGCTCTTCATGAGGGCCTCATAGGAATATTCGTATGGGGTTGCTACATCATACACTAATGAAATATTTTCAAATATGCCTGCACACACTTCTGGGGGAGCAAAAGTCACCCTGAGAAGCTTCCCAATGGTATTATTTTGTAGGTGTGTGTGTGTGTGTGTGTGTGTGTGTGTGTGTGTGTGGTAGGTGTGTGTGTTTGTGTTTGTAGGTGTGTGCCCGCAAAGCTGCCACTGGACAAACGCAATTAAATTAGTCAGCAGGACTGGTAGCTGAGTCCTGATAAAATAAACTGGGGTGGGAGATACCTTGTTCTTCTTAAGTATGGTAGCTTGGACTGGAAGTTGATGTTCATTTTAGCTCTATCTCCACTGCCATCAACAATGACTTGTCACGTTTTACCCTCAGAATCCTTACATTCCTTTTCAGGTGTCTAATGGCCCTTTCTCTGTTCAGTCAAAAATGACCCAGAGGAAAAGTGATCACAGTCAACACTTTCTATATCCAAATTAACAAAAAGCACATAAGGGCACTGTCACGGTGGTGGGTATTATAAGGCAAGCAATGCTTTTGTTGGAATAAAACAGCCAGCTAAGTACTTTGAAGCATTCATGACGTTATATGACTTTTGCTAATCTGGAAGATAAGATATGAGCTCACACACCAGAGCTAAGTGACAAATAAATGATAGAATGAGTGTCATGGGAGATAAGACGGGAGCAGGCGTCACTCCTGGTTGTAAGTGTCTTGAGTGAAGAGAAATTTTGATCTGGGACTAGGAGAAGAGAGCTGTAATTATTACGTGATCAGAGAAGCATGGATTCAAACAATTTCTCATGGGAACTCTTTTCAGAAACTATTAGAAAGGACTCCAGCAAAAATGAAGGAATAAATTAAGAGCCAGGCACTTGATCCATGGAACCACGCTTCAGGATGAACGGGAACAACCTTGAAGTCACGAGACACCCCAAGACCAAGTTCTCAGCACACTGATGAAGGGAACAAGAGAGTAGGGGGCAGGGATACTTGCCTCAGAGGGACAAAGGGCTGCCTCTGGATAGAGAGGAGACAGACGTAGCCTGTAGGCAAATGGTAGTTTATTAAGGTAAAATGCGAAATTTCTCTTAGGATGAGTTAGCTAATTTTGATTGGAGACGTGTTAATTAAGGCAGTCAAAAGGGGGGTTTTGATTGCTGGACTTCAAGACTTTGATAACTGAACCTTGGTAGTCAACCTCAGAAGAAAATGGTCAAATGAAGGAAAAGACCTTGGTAGCTAGCTTTAAGAACGCAAGGGAAAGGGGAAGAAGGGTAAAAGTTACATGTTTGTCAATCTCTGGTCTGCATTGCCCATGCTCAGGCCTCTGTACTCTGTGTTCAGGCCTGTGTTCGCTGCGCTCAGGCCTGTGTTCTCCACGCTCAGGCCTGTGTTCACCATGCTCAGGTCTGCTAGAGCCACTTCAACCACCACAGACCAGAGCCAGACCATGGAGAAGGACACCCTGGGGGAAATTATAACTGAGAAAGAACTAAATGTGTGTTTCCTGTAGCGTGTTTGGAATACAATACAAAAAAAAATAATGGGCAAATTAGATGTAGCTCCTATAACACAATTGGCTTGAGAGCACTATGGTTTTCAAAGCATCACACTATTTGTCTTGGTAATGAATAATAGTTTGAGTCAGGACAAAGGTCTTTCAAGGGAGGACCTGCTGAAACGTTCTCATTAAATATTCCCAGGACTGGTGTTTAGGACAATGTTAAAAGAATTATCCTAATTCAGAAGGTAAGTTCTGTATCATTTTAAAAGAAATGTCAACACATATCTAGAGATAGGGAAGGAAATCCCAGCACGAAAAGCCACACATTAGGGGCCTTGCCCTTAAGGAGTGAGACTGGGAGTGGGCGTGTGCAGACGCTTAGGGAAGGCATCATACCTGTCTCTTATCCTGAAGAGCAATATATGGAAGAAAAAGCCTTCAGTTAAAAATCAGAGGTGCCTTGATCCTCAGACACTGGGTGGAGTGAGCTTCTGAAGCCCACGGTGTTACACCAGGAACATAAAAGGCCAATCGAAGGATATAGGGTCCTTCCCTTACGGATTTTGAATCTAATCAATAAGTAGACAATAGACTAGAAAAAATATACATGTATAGACTGTAGTAACAAGAAATGTAAATAGAAAAATATTCTGGTAGTAAACAGTTCTGAAGGGAGGCGGGGCAACAATTTAAGGTTTTTCAGAATGGCCTCCTGGAGATAAATTGAGTTTTGCTGGGGCCAAAACTGGGTCTAGAAATGGCTAGAAAAACACCGCGACCAGAGGGCAGTAGGACAGTCACTCAAGCGCGAAAATGAGCAGAACCCCTGATCACGCTAGACATTTCAAAGTTCTGGGCATATAGATAAAATTTAAAGCCTGGGCCCAGAGAGAAGGCTCAGTGGGACAATGAGCTTGTTGCTCAAGCCTGGTCATCAAAGGTCAAAGGTCCACCCCTAAACCCACCTATCGTGGACCGAGCTGACCTCACACGGGCATGGCCATACATGCAGGAGCACACATACACATCATGGTTTCCCTCCCCCCCCTTTCCTTCTAATTTTTTTCTTCCTTCCGTTTGTTTGGTTTTTTGAGACAGGGTTTCTCTGTGTAATCCTGGCTGTCCTAGAACTCACTCTGTAGACCAGGATGGTCTCACACTCACAGAAATCCACCTGCCTCTGCCTCTGCCTCCCAAGTGCTAGGATTAAAAGCGTGTGCCACCACCGCCTGGTTAATAACAGATTCTTTAAAGAGCCTCAGGAAGCAGAGTGTATTGCACACCCACTAGAGGACCGCACTGGCCTGTAGAAAAGGCACGGAAATGACGATCATCCCCTAATATGTTTAATTGGTATTTCTGTAAAATTGCCTTGAGCCTTCTATTTATCTTGAAATCCAAGTGCATCACAACTGGAGTTCCATGTGTTTGTGGTTTACTCCAGACAAAACCGGAGAGTCTATTAAGTTCCTTCATTATCCCCTTTGTAAAGTCAAAGAATAATTGCCTTCCAGCCACGGGATCTCCCATGTGCTTTGGCCGAGGAGAAGAGATTTAAAAACGCTCTGCCGGTTCACTTGCAGAAGGCGAACGGTCTGTCCTCAGCGCCGCGGAACGTCGGACCGAGGAAGGGCGCGCAGGAGGCCGCTAGGCGGAGCACGGGGCGGGGCGGCGGGCTCTGCCTGCGGGGCCTAA